CTTAAACCTTTTTATCCTTCTTTTTTGCAAATTTCAGGTAAATAATTTTTTTTGCTCATTTTAGATAAAATTACCTTCTTTTCTTATTTACTAATGTTAGAAATTTTTTAAAAATAGGCCTACCCAATATACATTAATATAAAAGCATGGTAGAATAATATTAATATTCCTCAATATAGAATAGATTATAAAATACTAGGTAAAATTCAACTTTTATAGATATATTTGACAGTTAGAAAATATATTACAGTTAATATTTTAACAAATTTTACTAATCAATGCTCTTGATAATAAATATAACAACAATTTGCATTCATTTATTTAACGCCATCTATTTATTTTAAGTAAAAAATGATATTAAAATTTAATCTTTATATTATTCATCCCACACAATGTCTTTAAAAGATATTTTCTGATGTCCTCAATATTTTATAGTTTTCTGTAAAATATATAATTCGCTATATTGGTAAAAATTACTTGATTGTCATATGATAATTGATAAAATTAGATATACTGTAAATCTAAGACATATAATATTTCACTGTTTGTATTTATGCTTTAATATTCTTATTTAGTTTATGATTTAATTTTATCAATAGTATAATAATTATATTTTACTTTTATTAAGATAAATAAATTAAAATTAGTAATTTTATGGATCTGTTATTAATAATTATAATACATTTCACTTTTGTCTTAAGACTTATCTTTGGCTTATATTCTTTTATTAAAAAACATTTTTGGTTCATTTTATCTATTTATAAATTTATTTTTCCAAAAATGTATAAATTATGATGAGTTTTATAAAAAAATATCTACTTTTACATTTTTTCTTTCAAATTATTGTTTAAAATATATTCATACATTTTTGAAGGTCAGGGAGTGGGGGGAGGACTAAGTGGGATATTTTTTATTAGCTAAAAATAATATTCAGAAAAAGTGAGAAATTTCTGAAGGGGTGAGGGAATTTTCCCTTGTTTCCTCCCCTGGCTACGCCTATGGTTTTCATTAATAAAATATTATTTTTTACTTTCAAAGAAATTGCCAAAAAATTATTCACAATATAAACAGAATCTATTCGTACTTACTATGTTATATTAAAATTGTTTAAGTAATTTTATTTACGAATATACAAGAAGTTTGATAATAATTCTGAAATGACTCTTTAAGATTAACTAAATTAAATTACAAAGTTGATTAAGTTTTTGAACAATATTATTATCACAAATTTTAATATTTAATAAGATTCAAGGTAATGAATTACAAACAAGATTTATTTTAATCTTTGGTTAAGAATCCTTAAAAAATAGTCCTTTTTATTTATGATATAAAATAAAGTTAACTAACATTAATAGGTAAATCCCAACAAATTAAACTAGTTACAATGTACCTTTTCAAGATATAACTATTTAATCTTCATCAAAAAGGTAACTTGTTATTTTGACTAACTATTTTCCCCTCATATGATATTTTTTCGAGTTATATTTTTTGCCATTAATCTGAACATAGACTAAATTTGATAATATTTTAAAAATTTATTAATCTTTCCTCTTCTAAGTTAATAAAGGCCATTTTTTATAAAAATAAATTTCCTATATATTTAAAAAATCGGCCCGGACTTTATATAGCACAGCCAAGATTTTAAAATTTTAAGACTCATCAAGGCTGGAGTTTTTAAATTATACCATTATAAGGGTCATAATCTAAAAAGTAATACCTAAATATTATATTTCTATATAAATTAAAATGTGTAAATTCTTCACTAAACAAAAAAAATAGCTATTCATATTTTTATTTTAAGATAATATAATTTAATATAAAAGTTAATTGGGGGTGCCAGCCAATATCTATGGCTGCGCATGTTCTCCCCTAATGACATATCTTGACTAAGAGATTATACCCCTCCGCTTGAGATTTCTAATTGATTCGAACTCCCCGTATTAGTCCCTGATGCTTTTAGTTGCAATTTATTCATGAATTTGGGATAAATGAAGATGCTTAGCCTAGGATTAATATTTTGATCAATTTTTAGTCTCGTCCGGAATTTTGTTATCTTTGGCTGCATAAAAAAAATATAGGCAGTAAATAAATATTAAACTAAGCTTCCCATTATATGATTTTCCAGTTTATCAATGAATGTAATTTAACAGATTCAATTTTAAATTTTTTATCCCAGCCCGGATATTTTAAATGATTTTTTGGCCCATTTCGGAAGAGATCTGCCCCTGATTTATGTATAAATTCAAATTTATAGTTTATCCGTAAGCAGATATTTAGAACAACACTAAAAAGTCTTTCCACTGATGCACTGGAAGGTATTGTGGTATCATTAGCATCACTAGGAGTAGGGCCCGTAGGGGTTCAAGCTCCGTAAAAAATTTTAAATTTTTTTTTAAAATACCTAAATAGTTAGCTGAAAAATAAGTCAAAAGAATTCTGGTATTTTTTTGGTTATGAGCCCCCTGAGATTATAAAAGCTATTGACGACACTGTGTGCTATACTTTATGAAACCCTTTTAGATACGGATAATCTTCAAATATAGTAAATCCTGACAATAATCTTTTAAAAATTTTATGTTTGATCAGATCAAAAATCCCTACCCAATCTAAAGTATTTACTATTATTTTTGAAGTGGAGGTAGACATTTTGCCATTAATTGTAAGAAATAAAATTTGCCGTGTTTGTTTTAATTCTAAAGAAATTAACTTGGGGAGAATTTTAATAAATTTAATACAAAAATTAGGAGTAAACATTTTTCATAGAATATAAAAACGCAAATTTAAATTATATCTAAATACTTTAACAACTTGGGGGGTCAATTCAATAATTGTAAATGATATTAGTGTAAACAATAGAAATATCAATACGATTCCTATTTATTTTATTAAAATAATGTTATTCTTAAAAAAATTATTAAGTAACTGGCGCGTAGCCAGCGGGAGGAGGTAGAGGTTTGCAATGGCCGGGTTTTTAGCCCAGAAGCCTGCCCGTCCAATATTTTAAAAGAATTTAACCAGCCGTATTAAAATTTTTATCAGTAGAATCTTGATCTTTTTCCTGTTTGAGAAAAAATCATGACATAGGAAGACTTGATTCAAAAACAACAAACGTACATATTATTTTAAAATAATAGTTAAAAAAAATTGGATGAGGATTCTTTTGACAATGAACTAAGTTTTTTTCGTAATAAAGATTACACTTTAATTTTTAATAAATTCCTCCAATTAAAATTTTTATTTTTCCAATATAATACAACCCTCCCATCCTCTGCGCCAGTTGAACGTGTGTTTAGCACAGTGAAAGCTGTGTTGAGCACTAAGCACTCTTGTTTATCTGATTAAAATTTTAAAAATCAATTGTTGTTATAAATAAATAAAATTATTACAAAAACATCTTATCTTATAATATATTATTTTATTCATAAATTATACACAAAATAATTATTATAAAAAGATATCTTAGATAGAAAGTAAATCTGGATGTTTCCTATAAAATTTATTAATCTCGCTTAAGCGTTCCTTGGCAAAATTAAACGGATTACTTAAGATTGCAGGCCTTATTAGCCAATCCTTTTTATTTCAACGATGTTGACTCAGTGTTATTGCCAAAACAGCACACCCTTAATAAAAATTAATTACTTGTGTTTTTTAATAAAATTAGAATAAATGAAGGAATCGTTAAATTTAATCATGAAATAAGAATTAAATATAATCATAAATCAATATTATTTCACTGCTCAGAATATATATTATTTTTTGCATAATTTTATTTATATTATACATAGAGGGGGAAAATTTTTTTTTGTATATAATATTTAATTTTTTAAGTAATGAGTATCCCACTACTTTTTTAAATAACCAACAATGTGTGTTCCATATTAAACAATAACGAGCATTTGTAATGGTTCCTTATTTCAAACGTAATAAGTTTCTTTTGAAGTAACATACAGTAATACTTTAAAATGATTAACAGCTGTAACTTTTTATTGCATCAGACAATCATAAAACTGCCACCATTGCTAACCGAACTATTTTTTTGCAATAATTTTCAGAAAATGCAGCTTAAGAAGATTCAACAATGTATAAACTATCTCCTCTGCATTTTTTATTCCTGTTCAATTATATCTAGAAATTTAAAAATAGGATCATCATAAGAAGGCATTAATGCCGATGTGTAAATAGCCAACAAAGATTTATTTGATAGTGTAGTAGATTCATCTATCAGGATAGTAATTTTTAAAGAATATTATTTACAATTTTTATTTGGATTTCCTTGGAAATAAATAATCAACAAATATGATCCATATCTAAACTGTTGTACTTTTGTAAATCTATTAATGATTCAAAATCTAGAAATAGGCGATTTGATTTTGAAAAGTAAAATGTAGTATTCAATATTAACTATATTTGTTTATCAATGTGTGTAACTATTTTTAACGCATGCTCTGGTTATTAAAATAATTTGTAATATTTTAATTAGATTTTAACACATACATGACTAGTCAAAACTGATACAATGATATTGCTCTATTTCTAATGGATATTTTTTTAGGAACCATTAAGATAGGGGAGTTTTTTTGATTAAAAAAATGTACAATTACATTAATATACTATCATTTTGTTTATAAAATATTTTATAATGCTTATTTCATGCTAAAGAATATTAAAGTTTTTTTAAAAGGGGTTAAAATTCTCTAACAAATTATGCTAATTTTTTTAATTAGTAAGGGAACTGCTTGCCCCCCCCCTTGGGTACACCTCTGAGAGGATATAGGTATAATCTTAGGCATAGTAAGCATCCTTAAACATTTCTCAACCTGAAAATCAATATTTGGTGGATGTTTGAGATTCTTAATTATATCAACATGATTAATATTTAAATTTATATGGCTAAAAATTTTTAGTAATGAAATAATAAGTTTATTTTTTTAAATATAAGCTAAAAAGAATAATAAACAATAAAACAATGATAAAATTTTGGGTAATAACAATGATTTTTTATAGATTTTAAATAAGTTATTTATGAAGAGTATTATGTCTGTAATTACATGATTATTTTTCTAGCAAATAATATAAAAATAATTAAATTCATATAATAAAAATATCAAAAATAATTTCAAAATAATATATTTATATCACAAATACTATAAAACAGTTAAGTTCTATATTGCATTGAAAATTAATTTATGATCTAGTTATATTTGGAATATTAGACATGGTTGTTTCATAAAGTCTAAATTAATCAAAAGTATATAATTAAATTATCAGTTAATCTTACATGTTTTGAAAATGATAAAAATGTATCCCAAAGAAGGGTAAAAGAATTAACATACATCACCCTGTATTTTGTTGGAACATATGAAAAATTAACAACTTGTACAGGTGGCCAAAATATACAATCCATCTATATTAATATAAAAATTACTTGCATCCATATAACACTCACAAGATATATAAAGGGAAATTTCTGAACCCATTCACTATATATTGGTTCTAGTCTTTTCTTTTCTAATAAGCCCATTCCTGTTATAGAATATTAATTTTAAGTATATATAAGGATATTTACCCATAAAAAATATAAAACAAAATATAGGTGCAGCAAGGATTTGATCAGCTAATAATTTTTTTAAAATAATTTTACGACTAGTACCAGGCATCCATCTGTCTAAATTTGTGTACCATAAATGATTAAATGGACCAATACAAAATCCGACAGTAAACATTCTAGCTTATTTTAATTTAAAAAAAGATAATTAATTAATTACAAGTCCGTCTCCAATCGTGCAATTTATGAGATTTTCTCATTTCTATTCTTTGTTCAATTATATCTCCCGTTGCTAACAATATCCCGCACGACGCTGTATTAGTATAAAATAAATACTTAGAAAATAATTTAGCTTTTATATTCCGAAACATATTTTTGTCGAACTAACCGGACGATAGAATAATTGTAACCGATGTTAACGGTGTCAATCAACGTAAGTTCTGTCGTTTTCATAAATAACAATTGTACAACTGTATGCATATAAGGCTGATAATTCGAATATTATTCATTTAACATCCATATTTAATTTATTGATAAAAATTAAATTGCAACGAAATTATATATTATAACAATTCATTTAGAGTAAATCTAATTTTCGCCTTTGTAATTATAAGTACTCTAACTTTAAGGAAAGTTTGTGCTGTGATAAAAAACATATGGGCTAGCTTTTTAAAAACTAATTAGTATATTATAAATGTTTTTAAATTATTTTTATTTTTATGTGGCTAAAGAGCTTTTTACCCACTTTTGCCCGGCCATTAGGCCGAGTTTATATTAATATATTATACTTTTTTAATTGAAATTCGCAAACTCTGTACACTTATTCTGAATTTTATATTTTGTCATTTATTATGCATACAAATAATGAAAGCAAAACAATGCAAAACATTTTTAAAAATAATATCTTTTTAATATAAAATATTTTTCCGTTTATTACAATATATATTTTCGATTATGAATTTAAAAAAATTTTACATCTCAAGATTAAAAATGATAAAAAAGGTTAATTAATTCATACTATCTCAATTGATAATGAATTTTAAAACTCACAAGGCAATATAATTCTTAGCATAGGCGTGGCCTTCAGAAATTTATCACTTTGTGAATATCATTTTAAGCTAATAAAAAAATATCTCCTTTAGTCTTCAACCAACTCCATGACCCCCCAAAATGTATGTATATATCTTAAACAATAATTTGAAAGAAAGAATGTATAAACTAAAACTATATCATAATTTATACATTTTTAGAAAAAAGCAATTATATATAAAAAAAGTGAACCAAAAATGTTTTTTAAGAAATGGAATATAAGCCAAAGATAAGTCTTAAGACAAAAGTGAAATGTATTATAATAATAGATCCATAAAATTACTAAATAATATAATAAATCAATAATTTTTTTATAAAGTGAGTAATTTTAATTTATTTATCTTAATAAAAGTAAAATAAAATTATAAAACTATTGATAAAATTAAATCATAAATTTATAAAAAAAATTAAAGCACAATAAAAACAGTGGAATATTATATGTCGTAGACAGTATATAGCTAATTTTATCAATTATTATATGACAATCAAATAATTTATACCAATATAGCGAATTATATAAACTATAAAATATTGATAAGGACATCAGTAAATATCTTTTAAAGACATTGTGGGATAAATAATATGAAGATTAATTTTTAATATCATTTTTTATTTAAAATAAATAGATGGCGTTAAATAATTGAATGCAATTGTTGCTATATTTATTATCAAGAGCATTGATTAGTAAAATTTGTTAAAGTATAATGCATTATTAATAATATGTATATTTTAATAATATATAATGATTATTATTATGTTTTTATATTGGAAAAACTGTAATATATTTTCTAACTGTCAAATGTGTTTATAAAAATGGAATTTTACCTAGTATTTTTTTAACCTATTCTATATAATTGAGGAATATTAATTCCCCTCCCCCCACCCACCCTTAGTAAAATCCTGGCTACGCCTATAGCATAAAACTAACATAACGTTGTATTACTATTTTAGACAATGTTCTATAGAATGGACTAATAAATAAAAATTTGTAGGCCAAACCAAATCAATAATTCTTGAAATAGAGAATATAAACGAATAATCCAAATCATAAAACTATATTGCGGTTAGAGCTTCCTATTAGATGTCATTATGGAGGCTAGATAGGTAATTGAGAAAATTATTGTGAGATATTGAAATTCTAAAAGATTACCTTCCACTTTTAATAATATATAAATGACTAGACAGTTGACCATTATTTCTCATCTAAATTATGCAATCAAATGCTCTCAGCAGTAGAAGTAATAATCTTAAATTATAATAGCCACACAAATAATAGATGCTGGTTAATTTGCCATAACCATGACACTCATGATGGAAACTCATTTCAGATTTTATTATGGTAGATAAATTGATAAGAAGAAATAAATGCAAATATTATTGAAGCCTTGAGTTATTTACCCGGTAAGGAATCCAGGATGCTAGAATGATATGATGAAAGCAATTAAGATTTTATATATTATGACGCAGCACCTCTTGTAGATATATTATGTCTTAATAATAGTAATTTATATTAATATCAAATCAACGTATTAAAAATTTAACTCAAAAGTGTTCAAAGATGAAAGAGAAGGAAAAAAAATAACCTGCAAGGATTATATCAAATGTAGGATGATTAATAAGAAGTTTAATTTTTAATAAAATATTTTTTATACAAATAAATAGATGGCGTTAAAGAATTGATGCGAATTGTTACTTATATTTATTATCAAAATATTGATTAGTAAAGTTTATTAAAATATTAACTGTAATATATTTTATAACTTTCAAATATGTCTATAAAAGTGGCATTTTACCTAATATTTTATAACCAATCCTATATAATAGAGGATTATCAGCTATATGTTTACCTACATTTTATAAAGAAATTATTTATATAAGTTTGGACCTTGGAATTAGGAAGAGACATGGTAATTAAATTTAAAAATGGATTAGTGATTTTAAAATCGGCTAATTATAATATTAAACTTGTTAATTTTCAATTAATAAATGATTTTATATATTTAATTTGAGTTATAAAATAATTTAAATAATAAAAATTAATTAAGCTTCAACTATTAATGCTAAATTGATGTTTAGACATTATTATTGATATTCCATTTTTAACAGAATTTGATTGTGCTAGCTGACATAGCAATTTATATGTATTAATCTAATCTAATAATTAAAATAGCACACATTTAATAAAATTTTAGATAGATTTATTAATTTTTAAATAATAAAATCAAATCTATTTACAATACTTAATAGAATTTAAAAGAAATCGTCCAGGGGGCTATCAAAAAAAATTTATTTTTAGTTCAGGGGGATAGAGTCATTGACAAATTTTTTTGCTTCAGGGAGCTATTCAAATTTTCAGAGGCACAAATACCAATATTTTGAAAACCGATATAACCTTCAAGTGTTAGTGCTTACGCTTATTGTAAGATAAGAAAATTTCGATTCTTCCACAATTAGATAAAGGATAAATTCTACTCACCCGTCATTCTTGACTGGCTTTCTGCTAGTTTATATATAATTAACCTAACTAAGAGAATTTAATTTCTAAAAATCTACATCTGCTCAATTTGAATGATGTCATTATTCGATTTTCATATGGAATATTATTTTATATTTTTTCAAATTTTATTAGAGGCTGCTTGGATTTAATCAAAAAAATAAACAAAATTTAGCATTAAAAAAAATCATCAAAAAATAAAAATAGGACACCATGTGACTAAAAAAGGTATGTAAGTTTTTGAAATAAGCTGCTATTTTTTTGGAAAAAATCACTTTTTTGAATAAACATCCTGAAACAAAAGTCTATAGATACTTTTAATTATTATTTAAGATTACTACAGTTTTTGGTAATTATAATGGTTAAGTTGATAAAAAAAATAATTGAATTTATTATTAATATAGTGAAAATAGTTAGCTCAAACCGTTTTCCGAGATTTTAATTAGTATAATTATTACCAGGGACATGCAACGGAGTGTTCCGATCACTAGACGGGAACGAAACTTGGGAAAAACTATGGAACGCGAAATGAACCGAAATGGATTATCATGGCCCAATCTATATATGTTTGGTTTTCTTCTTTTAATTTCAGTTTGCTTCATTTAAAAAAATTTTTAATCAAATTTAAAATGATTTTTGTCATAAAATTAAAATTATTAAAAATGATAACTTTCAATGTATTTTCTTATTACCAATAGCCAATGTGTTGGAAGATATTTTTTTCTCAACCCTCAAATTTTTATTTCCACTAACCACACAAATATAAATGACATATTACAGAATGGAATGTCTAAATATTTAAATATAAGTTCAATCTGTATTTTAAAGAGTAATGAATAAAAAAAAACACAATAATATAAATAAAATTGGATAAAATTTTAGGAACGTATTCCGAAACATAAGGAATAGAAACGAAAAAATATCATTGTTCCATGTCCCTGATTATAATTAATATAAAATAAATAAATACATGTATTATAAAATAATATAAAAATATTTGAAATTAATTTATTTAGCTCACATTTTAATTATTAATATTCTATTAAATAGGAACAAGCCCAAATTCGATTTAACCGATTTTACGTTAATTTAGCTTGAGAATTTTTACTTTAAAATACTCTTTCACATATTTTCGAAATTCTTATATGATCTATATTTTTTGATAAACTATAATCCCCGATTGACTTATTTTATCCCTCATCAGGCGGGTAGGCTCAATCTTAAAAGTAGTTTTTTAAAACCGGGAATGTTGAAAATAATATAAACGACTAAAAAAAACTCGGAACAACGAGAAATGGTTAAAACTAGATTACAAAATTAATTTTTTTTTCACAAATTAGCCAGAGCTGAAAAAAAATCTATGTCTGGCTTGCAGGTGTCTGATATATTTCAATTATATTACTTAAATATAAATCAAATTATATAGCAGGTAAAAAAAGTTTGAATATTTGGACTCCTGATCAATCATATTGTCGGTTTGCAATTTTTCACCTTTTTTTAAAAATTTATTTTTGTATTATATAATAAATGACGGCACAAGCTCGAACCCGTCCATTGACATTTCCTGTTAGGTCCTGATGTCGTACAAGTTGTTCAACCTGGCCCATAATAATGTAATATGAAGGAAAACAGAATACATTTATCTAATTATCCGTTTTTAAAGCATTTTCAAAATTCCGGCCCGTCCTGGTCAGTGATTATATATTTAAAACAAACGTCGAATTTACCAAATTAGTTGATTTGTAAGTTTTCAAAATTATATAAAAAGAAGAAAACGTTTATAGAATTTCTTGAAGCAAGAGATGGAATAGGGATTTCTCATATATAAAATTCTGGA